TAAAATTTCCTATTTTTGAGTGATTAAAACCTGTGTATATTTGCTTAGGTTTGTTGAATTCAGGATAAAATTTGTATTTGTTGTTTCTGTTAAGAAGATGGGGTTAAATTTCTGAATGAATGAATGAATGAGTTTTGGTGATTAAACTTTTAGACTGGTGCATGTTTAAATGAAACAAATCGAAAACAGGTGTGCATTATAGTTCATCATTTGTTATTTTATCATATCATTGAATCGATGATTTTATTCTTCATCGCATCTGAGTGTTTGTTTGTATTCGCCTAAATTTACAAATATATGTGTGTGTATATTTGCATATATACACCAAGTAGGTAGATGGGTACATATGGAGCAACAGTATGTATAAGTGCTTTCATATCTGTTTTTGATGATGAAGAATAACGAACGATAAGGCGTGGCCAGATGAACGAACAAGAAGTATTGTTTAAGGTGACGCGAACTACCTACTGTTTGCGGCTTTTGAACGGCGGCACAAGGGGAGGGATGGATGGATGGATGGTTGTTTTATTATTGGAAGAAGTAGAGGATGTTTGTGTTGGTGATATGAGAAACGAAGAGCGTGTTTGTAAGAAGGATTCGCTCAATCCTCTTCAGTCACACTCATTATACATATAGGAAATATTTATGCTTGAAGTTTATGTTTTGTTGAGTCTGTCTATTGATTGATTATGGTTGGCATAGTTGTTTAGTGAGACAGTTAAGTGGGATGTATGAGCACATGAACTATGCGATGTGGACAAATTAAATGTGCGATTGGATAACGAACGAACTGCGATCAGTTTATAGAAATACTGAACTGAGAAAACTTATTACGGTTGTATTCGGTGGCTATACTTTGATTGTAATTTGATGCGAATACGTTCCATTCGCTTCGTTTTGTTTTTGCTTATGTGATTAGGTGTAATAGATTGAATTAAATGATATGGTATGAGATTGGATCCACTATGAGATAACTGTGAGGGACTTTTGGGTAGGTGAACTTAACTTTGAGTTGTATTTCGTTTTTTTGGCTGATGAAGTTAGTTGGTCCAAAGAGAGAAGGAACTTTGAGCGATTTGAGGGCTGTTGAAAAGTGGGAGAATGTTATGGACGTACCAATATTCATAATCTATTTTGGACGGTAAAGTCATGACATTAGCCATCTCAACGTTTTGGAATTTTTAGATTCTTCCGGATCATCCATCATAGTGTGGAATTTAAGCAGCATTCTTTCGTGTGATTAGCTCGAAAACAAGTCATTGCGATTGGAAAAAAAGGAACTTTTTGGGGTAACAGCTGTATTGGCGATGGGAATGCTGAAGAAGTTGACTGATTCAGGTTGTTCGCTATTGAAGTGGGATGAAATGAATTGATTGATCATTAAAATGTCATAAAATGAATTTTAAGTTAGCTGTTGGCAATAACGACGGAAATACCAACCAAATGCTTTGCCTCCTAATAAAAATAACACAACAACAGTAAATGCTGTTTGACTATGCCATAGCACTGTCTTGCTCAATCGATAACACTTCGTTCAGTCCCACTCTCTTGAGAAATCGAGTAATTAATTGTTACTGTCATCTCTAACTGATTGACCTTTCTCTCTGTTGCACTGAAAAACTGAGAACACCTCTAAATGATAGATGATCGATGAGATTGGGGTTTAGGTGCGGATCGATTTTGTTGTTTTGTCAGTATCGATTGAACAGCAATGTGGAATTTATGGAATTCACGTATAGAAAGAAAATGGGTCTCGGATCAGAAACGTTGGGCATTCATGATTTGTCCGCACGAGAAACTGAATTAATATTCTGTAGTCGACGATCTATTATTGTTATAATTGGTGTATGGCCACTATTGCTATCATTATTACTGTTAATGTTATTTTTAGTGTTTTTACGAACATTCTTATTGTTAATCACTATCATTTGTTATTGCGCTGTGAAGCTTCGTTATCTTGCCTATAAAGAAATAATGGAATGCAAAGTGCTAACTGACTTGTTTAGAAGAAATTTCAGGATCTGTGCTTGATATCATGCATTATTATAGTAGAATAACGTTGAGAGACTGTATTTATAGAGAGTATTGTTGTGTTTTTTGAGTGTTTTAAATGTAGTGATGTTATGATAATAGCGCTATTAGGTGGATTAGTATCTAGTGGCAGTTTACGAATAACGTTTATATAATTTTTTATTTGGTTTGTTGCGAAGTGCGTGTTAGTCGCGAGAGTAGTATTAACATATAATTTGTATAGTGACGTATTAATACCGTTATTATTATTGTTATTATTATTATTATTGTTATAATAATAGTGACAATAATAAT